TTTTTTATTTCGTCTATATTTGTGTCAAGCTCGTTATGCTGATGCCTTCGAACTGGCCATCAGGCTTTTATGTGCCGTCTATCGCTGCTGATAGCAGCAGCCAGTGCCAGTCTCTCGTTCTACACTTCATTTCCGGCGGAAGAACGAACCGGGAGACATTTGTATATATGTATGCCTGTAAGTATTCTATGTATTGTACTTGTCGCCAGTTTACTTCCTTGTTTATGAGCATGCCCTCGTACTTTTATGTAATGCGAGCTTTTATTGTTGCTGTTATTTTGTGGTCTACTTGGTTGCGCCTCATATGCTCCCTTTCTTTGTATGCACTTGCCCCACCAATCGCAAGCCGGGTCTCTCGGGAGTTTTGTTTGCTCTCGCTATTGATTTATGGTTTGGGGACTCTGCTCCTTGTGCGGGATTTTCTGTTTACGGTTTTCTGTCTCTGTCTCCGCCTCCGTCTCGGTCTCGGTCGTCGTCTCGTCAACGTTTTGTTGCGGTAATTAAACTCTGATTGCTTTTCAATTGTTTTTATTGATTGGCCGGGCATTCGTTTCTTCTTTTAATCGAGCTTCTGTTGATTCGCAATTAGCCACGGAATTTCATTGAAAATGTCTGACAGAATGGCAGAATAGCGATGGCAAATTGATCGAGCTTCGGTTAGATTGACTTAAATTAAGTTGATATTCCATTTCAAAAGCTTAATTTATGGACAATATTTAGAGGGTATGGATAAGACAAACAACTCTCAAAAACTTGGCAGCCGGCGCGACTCGACTCGGCCAATTTTCAACGACTCAAATCGTGAGGCAGCTGCGCGTAATGGACAATTTGAATTATCCTTCGGTGGTGGTGCTGCAGCTATTGGTGGTACTCTGATGGTGATGGAGGAGTGTGAGTAATAGTTTTGGCATCCAGCACGATTTTCCAAGAATTTATGGAGCGCCGACAGCCAAGGGCCACTACATCCAGTCGAGTCGAGTCGAGTCGAGTCTAGTCCCGAACTTGGCAAAAGCGAATCCATTCCACATTCATCTCCTTTGTCCAGCGCTGACAAGTGCAAAAATAAAGTAAAGTTGCGCGCCCATTCTCGATTCAGCTCCCAGCTGTTGGACGTTGGATCGATCCACTGGCCGGGCCTTTTTAACTAATTAAGCCCCGGTAAGAGGGAACAACACATGCTGCTAATTTGTGAAATTAACGTGTTTGTTTTGGCCACAGTCGAAATAAATTGCCCTAAAAAAAACTGGGTCCAAAGGTGAAGGGCCATGGGCCATGGACCATGGCCATAAATTCGCATTCGAAGGCGAATTTCCAGCTGCAACTTTTGTTTGCTTGTTTACGCCCGACAAAAGGTTTGGCAAAAATTACAGCCCGTTGGGAAATTTATGTGCAACTCAATGGAAATTAAACGTTTTGGCCAACTTAAGCACAGCTGCTCGGACTTCCGGTTACCCAGTTACCCGGTTCTCGTCCCAGCCGCCATCCCATTTTGATAAGGATCTATGAAAATAGTGTGAAAAATTATTGCTCCACTCCTATTTCCCCTCGCCATTCTAAACTGCTAAATTAAGATAGATGAGTGCATTAAGCTGGGAGAATTTATTTGTTTTGATAAGCGAGGAATCTGTCTGCTCCGATTCAGTTCTACCAGTGACATAAGGGTTTGCTGCATAAATCTTACACGTTCAGCGTTCGTATTTCATATATAATTTATTATACTCATACATATGCATATTAGAGATAAGGCATATGTATGTATGTCATCCCACATCAAAAGACACTCGATACATTTCCGTAATATTCGAAATTTCTACAGCAATCTCAATATGACATCATGAAATATAAAATATTATTCAGTTATGTCTTGTACTGGAATCACGTAACAATTGGAGATTTTCACGCAAATATCTTGCACCTAAGAAACGGCCGAATAGCAATCCCCAATACAAAAATTGGTTCGCTATACTTGCACTTATTATGATTTCCTACTTGGGCCATATAACTTTTTTAATAAGCCCGAAAAGATCAACAGCCAAAACTGGACTCAAGTCCAGATGACTTTGGCTAATAAATAAAGTTTTCGATGCTCAGGTAAACACTCGGCATGACCTGACCCACAAAAAGTTTGTGGCCAAAACAGAAGCAACATGAAAACGTAGTACATATAGAAAACTTGGGGAAAAATAGTTTTGGTCAAAAATGGTTGGCTTATGTTTCTTGCATTTTTGCCTGCAATTAGTTAACCCATAAACGAAGAGAGTTGCATATGAAATATATGGCCACAAAATGCCGGAAAATTGCTCAGAGCCCCAAAAACAACGATTTATGAGTATCTCTAAATGGAATGGAAAAGGAATGGGCGAATGAGATACCCTTCGTAGGGACTATCCTAAAGACATGGAAGGAAGAAATACTCAGATACTTCATGGGCAGTAAATGCCTTCAATGGTGTTTCGAAAACCCTCGAAAATAGTATAAATAAAATATATAGATATTTAAGATAAATTCTGAATTTTTCTCAGTTTTTCCTACTAATTATTCATTAAATTAATTTATATAATTATAAAATAATTTCTCTTTGCTGGAAAAAGTGTCCAACACAAGACTGACTTCATTGCCCATTTCTGTTTCGGAAACACATTTTCTGGATTCGCGTTGTACGAGTGAGTGTGGGTGGGCGTGTGGCCAGCTTGTTGTCTAAAATGCTTTGCCTTAATTTATCTTGTTGTCAGGCTGGGTGGCAGCAACAAATGCAGCCGCAATAGTTGAATTACTCACACAGATACACTCTCACTCACTCACTCACTAAAACTTGGACAGGTGAACTCTTGGTGAAAGTGAAACTGGGTCGCAGGAAAGTTTTTCCACCCACTTTATTTTTTTATTTTTTTTTTTGAACAAGATAAAATGGACACACCTTATGTGTTCTTCGTTTTTTTGAGCTGTGTGTGTGTGTGGGTGGGGTGGGTGGTGCTGCGAAAAGTGTGAAATAAAGTGAAGAAAATTGCTGCCTACTTTCGGTTTTCCTTCGCTTGGGGCTCAAGGGGGGGCCAAGCAATTTGTTAGCAGTTTCAGACCTGAAAGCGTCTCAGTGCAAATGTAATTTACTGCTGGGCAGAAGAATGTTTTGGCCGGAATTTATTTGCGGCCATTTTGGTAAAAGTGAAACCAAAGGGAAATTCTCAAAATGCTTCCCACCAAACAATACAAAAATATCTGAACAAAGTGAAGTTTTTCTTATCATTTGTCTGTCTGCAATTGCCAACACATATTTCATTTATATTCTCTACCCTGTATTTGTCTGAGATGTTCCATAGCGTTTTTTTTCACGCCGCGAGTGCCAAGAATGTTTACTTGGCTTCGTCACAATGCTGTTCGAAGTCTTTGGCTCTGCCTGTTGACTTAACATTTCGCTCCCTCTGACCAGCAGTCCTCTTTCTGCACAGCTCCTGGGCTTTTCCCTACTAATAGTTTTATAAGCTTAGCCAGAAGCCAGAAAGGGAGCTTACAAAATCAATGAGAAACATTGAACACATTAAATATATAGTACTTTAAATATTAAGTATATTGGGTTTATTTTTTCTCAAACGTTTTGGCAAAGTTGATGCCGGCCTCGATATTTTTCTTCAGGATGGGCAGCAGTTTATCCAGGGACTTCTGTTCGAATTCGTTTAGATCGGGGAGTTCTGGATAGCGTTTGATGCCCTCCTTTCCCAGTTCCAGGGGGCCGGCGAAGAAGGGGACATTTTCCATACATGATGCCACAAAAGAGCATTCAATAATTCCCTCCTGTCCGTTGTGAGCCCGAATCAGGGATTTCACGAAAGAGGAAGTGGCATAGGCCATGGAAAGAGTGGCGGAACCAGCACCACCCTTGGCCATAACCACTTCAGTACCGGCTTCCTTGATGCGATGCGTCAGTCTTTCGATGTCTTCGGTGTCGCCCCTGAACTCAGGCTGGCACTGGGAGAAGAGCGGTAGGATGGTGGGTCCCGTGTGGCCTCCGATCACCGGGATATTCACCTTCTCCGGATCGATGTTCATGTGGTCACCAATGAATTTCCTGGAACGCACCACATCCAAGGTGGTTACCCCGAAAAGGCGGCGCGGATTGAAGACCCCGGCTTCCTTGAGAACCTCAGCGGCAGTCGGGACAATAATGTTAATGGGGTTCGTGGTTATAGCAATCAGGGCCTCGGGACAGGCGCAGGCCATAGCTCTGGTCACAGTGATGGCTATGCCACCGTTAGCTTGCATCAGACTGTCACGCGTCATGCCCGGCACGCGGGGCATTCCGGCGGTTACCACCACTAAATTGGCCCCCTGCAATGCCGGCACGAGCTGCTCGTTGCCCACGTAGCCGCTTACTGTTCCCTGCTCGGAGATATGTCCAGTATCGGCGGCGACACCCTTCGTGCCACGCAGATCGTGCAGAGCAAGCTCGTCGATCCCCTCAATCTGGCGCAGGAGTAGTGACAGTGGCTGCCCTATTCCGCCGCCAGCACCCACAACGGCGACCTTGAAGGCGGTGCGTGCCATCAGCCACCAGGAAGAGCTCGAGGGGACTATCTTTGCCTTGAATTTCTTAAGAAACATTTCAAAATTAAGTTTTTGCGATGATCAGGTCTGGATGGAATAAAAAAATAGAATTTGTGCTACTGTATAAAAGCCAACTATTTACTCTTCAAGCAGGATATTTCAAGAATACTATATATTTTTAAAAATATAAAAAAAAAACATGAGTTGCACTCTTGTATTAAGTTTGAATTAATAATAAAAACCACACCGTCTAAAATCACTTGACGTGAATGGAATATCCATTCAAAGGTAGGGGCAAAATTAGACATAAATGTTTTATGTATTCGTCATAGCAACGATCATGTATTCATGATTTTCCATTCACATTTCGCATTTTTCAGTAGAGCTTCTCATAAATTCAGTAACTCAATAAGCTCTCGTGACAAATTATTCGTAATCAGTAATTTAATATTGTATTTAATCTGCATTTCTGGCTATGTTCACCCTTCGATGGGGCACACAACTCTCCCAGAAACTGCATCCGTATCAAAGGAAGCGAACTGATGCCGTTCCTAGCACTGGAAGCCAAAGAACTCTCAAGGTCGCTGTTGTGGGGGCGGCTGGGGGCATAGGACAACCCCTGTCGCTTTTGCTAAAACACCATCCCCACATAGAGACTCTCGTCCTCCACGATCAGGAAAATGTTAAGGGCATTGCAGCGGATCTCTCGCACATTGACACATCGGCGGTAGTGCAGCACTTCCAGGGTCCAAAGAAGCTGGCACTGGCCCTGAAGGGATCGGACATTGTGGTAGTGCCAGCGGGCAAGCCCCGCAAGCCGGGCATGACCCGTGCCGATCTACTCGATGCGAATGCCAGCATCGCGGTGGCAGTAGCCAATGCCGTGAGCACGGCTTGTCCCGGCGCTCTGTTGGCCTTCATAACGAACCCGATAAATACAATTGTCCCAATTGTTGCGGAGATCCTAAAGTCTAAGGCAGTTTACGACCCTAGGCGTCTCTTCGGGGTTACCACTCTCGATGTAGTCCGCTCCAAGACCTTCCTTGGAGAGAGCATCGGGGTGGAGCCGGAAGAGGTCACCATTCCCGTGATTGGCGGCCACGCTGGCCTCACAATCCTTCCGGTTCTCTCGCAGTGCGATCCTCCTTTCGACGGTGATGAAGCTGAACGACTGTCTCTGTTCCATCGCATCCAAGAAGCCGGGACGGAGGTGGTAATTGCCAAGGCTGGACGTGGCTCGGCCACCCTGTCGATGGCCTATTCTGGGGCTCGCTTTGTGGACTCCCTCATCAGGGGCATCAAGATGGAGGGCGGCGACGAAGGTGTCGTCGAGTGCACCTTTTGCGAATCGGATGTCTCAGAAGCGAAATTCTTTGCCTCGCCGGTAATTCTGGGACCGCAAGGTGTCAAGGAGCATCTCGAAATTCCATGCCTGGATGATCTTGAAAAAGCGGCTTTGAAGTGCCTGATTCCAATCTTGAAGAAAAACATCGAAGCTGGTATCAAATATGGCCAGAGTGCGGTAGTCTGTGGGTTCTAAAGAAACTTTCCCTCAAATTCACTGTGTTGAGATCTGGCTATCGAAAATGAGCACAACTTTCCGATTTAGTCCATATTTTTGTCTAAAATGATCAAACGTTTCAAAAATGTATGCGTATTCAAATCTTTAATAAGCAAATCAAATATTTTCCAGACTTCATTCCTGATTCATGCTCAACTTCCTTAAAGACTCATTTTTGTTTGTTTTCTTTGGATTTTTGGCTCAGTGTCAAGTTTTACATTTCCAGACCCGGCTCTGTCGGCAGCCACAGTCGCAGCTGGTGTCAGGACTCGGAACTGTGGCCAAGACGAAGACGCTTCATCATCGAGCTGAGAAGAGCCGCAAATCTCTGCGGTCTCGTCTTAATGGCTAAGAAATTGTGATTTATGCCTCGAGATTTGTACATACACTGCTTGACGCATGCTTCCAGATACATCGTATGCACATACCTACCCGTACTTAAGTATATATGTATGTACTCTTGTGTATGTAGTGTGTGTGTCTAAACAGCAGAGCATGATTTACTTCTTGTTGAACTTAAGTATTTTCGGGGAGTGAGGTGAAGCAGACACAACTTACAAGAAACTTTGGCATTTGAATACACAAACTCCACGCAAATACTTCCTTCCTGATTCTGGAGCATTCATTACTTAATTAGACGCAAATTTATTTGCAAGCCTTCCAAAGGTGCCCAAATTAGATCAGTTGAATTACTTTAATTGAATTCATTCAGAGGGAAAAGGTGGTGCAGCTGAAGCTGGAGCTGGAGCTAACATCTTTCTGAAATCTCTTCTGAGAGGTTCAAAGGGTGGGAGGACCTCTCCCCCTCCCGTTGACAGAGGAAAAGAGTTCGAGGCGACAGTTTTATTGCTGCGACATGGAAACTTTAGGTCTCTTGGCTTGCCAGCCCTTAGAAGGCTTATTAGGTAATTGGATTTCTTAACGCCTTTGTAGCGGCATCTACAATGATACTGATTTCTCAATACCTCCTCAAAGGTTATTGGTTCTAAAGCATGGTTATACAATTAATTACTCTAAGTAGATGACTTAAATAAAAAGCTTGGGCGAGATAGAAATTTAAGTTTAGATAGCTGCGAGATACCCTTTTATACGAGTCAATTTGTCAATTTGTTGTCAGTTGTCAGGACAACTCTCAATTTGACTGGTATTCAAGCTATAATCTAACTTTTATTGATAGCCTATTAACTTAACTATTTAATTTAGACAATTTGCAAACTAAAGCAAGTGCCAGAATAGTTATCGAATAGAACGCGAGGTTGAGTTGGAATCGTAAGAGCACATTCATGACGTTCTGATTCAACCTTTTCAGACACCACTTCTGCATCGAGCAATGGTCTTCTTTGTTGGCATTTTGTTGCATAGGTGGGCTATAATTTTCAGAAATTATACATGACCACTTATGTTGTCATTAACGCTAACGACCACCGACCAAAAAAGTGTGTCGAGGTATTATGAAATGTTTAACAGCCTCGTCCAAGTGCCTGCTGCAAGTTTGTGCAATTTTTCCGTCTATCGTGGCGTTGAGTGGAGTGGAGCCTCCTGTCGACGGCTCCTGGCCGCAGAGTAGTGCCTGACTGGGTAATCCAAAATTAATGGCCTGTCAGTCATAGTCGTGCTACAATTTTAGCCCACTTGGTTCGCTTTTGGGGCTCTGCAACTACAGCTGCGATTCCGTCTTACAGGCGGTCGTGTGCTACATCCTTTCTTTGTGTAAATTTCCGCTTCCTTCTCTTTTCGGGAAAAGTAGACCAGGAACGAGCTTAATCGAAAACGTATGAATGCAACACAAAGTCCAAAGAGGCCTGACTTGGCGATGAGAGCGTTACAGGATAGCCACAGCACTCACGGGTAGCGAACCACGTTTCCTCAATACATTATGTCCCCCATATTCAAGATTTTCTTCAATCAGGGGCTGTATTAAGTAGTTAGTATTCAGAGCATTCAAATACGGCCCAAGGTGCAATAGTCCAAGTATCTTTTGACCCATTTAATCTTGCGATGGGTTGACAAAACGAGTATTCCGTCGTATATCAATTCCTTTGAGGAGTTCTCCAGCCCTCCAGAGCTACACGAATTTAAGAGCTGCCATCTCCCATCTCTAGGCCAAAGCCACAGCACTTAAGTCCCTTTCGTGTTGCTCTTTTTGCCACTCCTTTGCCATGGCTCAGGGCTGTCCTGGCCTGGTCGGGTATGGTCTGGCCGTGGTTAGAGCAGCCAAGTTATTACAAGCGCAAAAATATTTTCACTTAAGTAGCTGCCACCATTTTGCTCAATTTATTTCCAACATCAAGTCCTCGCTCACTCCTCTTTTCTTTTTTTAATTTCAACACAAAATTTTCGTGTAATGTTTGGCTTTCAGCTCGTGTTCTTTTCAGCAGAGAACATTCTTCAGACCTGGGGGAAAAAACCGCTACGTAATATATAATTGAATGTTTTCTGTTGAATGCAAGGGCTTTAAAATATATCATGCTCTCACTCGTATATTAATCAAAGGATGAGTCTCAGTCTCCTTTTTGCACATGCAGATTTCCAGATGCAATATTCTGTGGAAAATCTGTTGGACACTTGTACGCTCCTCAAACAGGAATTTGTTGTGTTTGGGTGGTTTCACCTTTTTTCATGCAACTTTCGGGTCATCTGGGGGAATGTTTTTATTGTGAGACGCCTGGGGATGAACGAATTTCACAACAATTTTTTGTTGCCTTCATTTTGGAAAATAATTTTGTATGCATTTGGGCATTTAACGATGTGTGAAAACGTTTGCCATTTTTGGTAATTGAATTGCTTTTCCATGCAATTTTATTTCTCTTTTCAATGGAAATCCAGGGACCTCGACTGAGCATGAAATTAAGGAACGCAAAACTTTCTTGATTCGGTGCTTTATTACGGAATGAAAAGTTTTGTTTTTGGTTTGACTAAAATTAAAATTTGTTGATTAAATGAATATTCAAAGTATTTCAGATGCGTATGAAATTGATCTACAATTTAGCCCTCTTTTGAATCACTCTTCGTTCTTCTTCTCTAAGTATGTACAAAATATCTATATGAATTCTCCTCTGAGTATCTATTTAGAGATGTTAATCAGGCCAGCGTTTCCCTCCACTTTTCTACTAGTTGCTTAAACACTTAGGACCTATTTTCACTTGCCTCTGAAGTGGTTCCCCGCCCCTTAAGTGCCATCAGTGATTTGTGGGATAGGGGGAAGGGATAAGGAAAGTTAAACAAAAGAACCGACATCTACGCGCTCTGATTATCTGTAAATCAAATGCAATGAGATACAGTTGGAGCTAGAATTACACTTACACGACTAACATGACATTCCCAGGGTGGGGCGAAAAGAGTAGCCTTTTACGGCCTCAGAGGGATACGAAAAGCGAGTCGCAGGACATCTACGGGGTTTTAGGGTCGATGGCGAAGCGAGTGACCCATAAAATATCACGTATACGCAGGCCACATGGCCACAGGAGGCCGCCTGATGAACTAACACGAGTATATATGAGCATATGCTTCCTTCTGTATGTGTGTGTGCGTGTGTGTGTATGCATGTGTGGATGCGTTTTTATGATTTGTGGCATAGTGCCCAGTGAGGCAAAGCCCAAGCAGAGCAGCAGTAGCAGCTGATTGTAAATCTATGCGGGCTTCGGCTCAGCTCATGCCTCCAATGGCAAGCCCAATCCCAATCCCAATTCCTAACCCCTCCAATGTGGTTACTCAGCCAAGAGACAGGGATGAAGAATGGAACCATTCAGTTAGGATGAAGAGGCAAGGCAGTTCGGTGGGGGGGGGTAGAGGGATTTGTGGGCTGTGTGTAACCTCCGTGGGGTCAAATCCTCTGCGGTTTCGCAAGCTGTCGCCTTCATCTTTAAACTTTAATGGTCGGCCAAAGTTTTGGCCGCGGCTGAGCCTTCGCTATAGCCAAAAGAGGACTTGGGCACGTCTTGGCCAAAAAGCAGCTGCCTTCACTCTAGCGGAAGACCACACCTCACACACACCCCTCTGCGCTATTGTTAATTCCCTGGACGTGTCCTGTTAGCGAAACGCTTTCCAAATATTTATTTATTATTTACTCTCGTCCACCTTGTTGGCCACAGAAGAAGCAGCAGCAGTAGCCGACAAAAAAATTGTGGGAGAAATTTGATTTAGCTGCTCTTTGACATCGGGTCTTAGTGGCTCTATTTATCTACGTGATGTTTTCAGTGCTCTTTAGCCAGATAGCAACCGAAAGCTGTCAAACGTGGCGTATACTTAATATTAATTACTGCAAACAACCAGAACGAACACCATAATGGCTGTTGATAATCTTTCCCACTCTCAGTCCTGCTTCTATTCTCTCTGTGGCTCTCTGAGAACAAGAACAGATCCTTCCACTGATAAACATCGTTTGGAAAATTGTATTAATACACTGCGAGAATACGACTATATGTATGCATTTCTCTTCTCGTTTGTGGCAAGAAAAATTGACTAATTGTCTAATTAAGTCATTAACGAAATTACTTGAATCGCTTTTTTCTGAACAATATTCAAATCGCATTCCAAACTAAGGTAATTACGGCACTTAACGAACAAACTTTCCTTATGCCAGATGGTGATGGAAGGTGATTGATGTTGTTCACAAAAAATTGCTCCTTTTTTGGACGCTTAAGTAAGTGAGAGAATGGTCGGCGCAGGAATCCAAGGACTTCCTTTAGTTATTAGTACGCTTTCTTTCAGCTTTCAGTCTTTAGCCTATTTAAACATTTTCGTATAATAATTACATCCATATACAAACTTTTCCCAGTGCAAAGCACTTTCATTTTGTGTACGAGTAAGTGAACGGCCAGACAGAAGTTTTTCGCATGCATTCCCAACCACTTGCAATTAACACTAAAATTAATTCATATTAATTAAGGCTCAGACCCGGGACCAAATGAGAACACACTTAATGCCTGGGGCAGTTAGCTTTTATGGGACTCAAACAGAACGGGCGGAGGAGCTTGGCTATTTCCCCATACTCAGTCGAACAAATAGCGACCTCGACGGCAAATGTAATAAATAAGAAAGAGAACAACTAATTGTGGAGGTCCGACCCTGACCAGACATAACAGCATTCATTAATAAGCAGCCCCGAAACGAGAGCTGTGCCCCAGCT